TTGCAACAGAACAAGAATAAAGGCAACAAACAAGACCCTTACAGCACATATGAGACTCCCCATGCAGAGTGGTTACAAGTGCAGATTCATTCATGAGCTGGGGTAATGGGAGCCCATGTGGCTGCAGCAAGGGCCAGTCTCGGGGCACCTGGCCTTAGACCGCCTTCTCGCAGAGCTCTGTATCCCCCAGAGGCTGCCTGGGCCTGGATCCTGGTCATCTGGGCTCAGCCATGGTGCTTGGGGGCAGGAAGGGGAAGCCGGTGTCCCTGCTGCTCTAGGAACAGGGCTGTGACTCCAGTCGCCACTGGGAATCAGGAAACTGTGCCACAGCACTGGGGTCTGTCCCCACTCTGTCCTTCCAGCTGCATCCCTGCCCTGTTTGTATTTCTTTGAGATAGGGTTTTGCTAAGTGGCTAAGTTGCCCAGGCTGGGCTTGAATTTGCCACCCTCCTGCCTCAGCCTCCCAGAGTGCTGGGATGACAGGTGTGAGCCACCACGCTCAGCTTACGTGCTGGTTTGTGACCACATCCTGGCTGCCCTTCCCTTGTGTTCACTCTGAAAGTGGCTTGTGTTTTCCTGGTCAGATCCTGACCCATGTGCTGTCTCATGGAGCTGCCGCAGGACTGAGTCAAGCACTCAATGAGTACCCAGCACAGTACCTATGCCATGTAAGTGCTTGTTAAGTAAATGAGGATGGCTCACACTTTTCCTCACTGAGTCAGCAGGAGGTGACGCTCGCCTCACCCCCTACCAACAGGTGAGTGGCCTTGGGGACCTGCTGGGTCACAGCTGTACATGGCTGAGTCTGAGTCTGAACCCAGCTCTGTGTACCTGCAGAATGGCGCTCCTCTTGGGGGCCACAGTGGTCAGTCCCATAGGATGGTTGGGGAAACTGAGGCTGGGGGAGGCACAGGAGCTTGGGCGTGGCACACAGTCTTGGCATGCTGGAGGCCGGACTTGGATGCGGCTCTCTGACCTGGGTTTGCTTTCGTGCCTCTTCTGAGAGGCAGGCCCAGCAGCCTCTTTCCCCAGGATGCCTTCCCCGCTTCTTGGGCCAGGATGCGGCTGGCTGTGACTTGGTTCTCAGGCTCTGTTTCCAAGGTGCCTCTGGTTTTCAGGTGGGGACATTTGGGACCTCTCTGGTCTTGGGTTGCTTGTGGCGTTTGGGTGTCACAGGGCAAGAACTTCTGGAACCAGATGCTGGGCCTTGAGGGGTGAGGTGGCGAGAACCCTTGGTTTAGATAGGTTTTTAAAAAAAATCCTTTAAAAATATCTTTTTCTTGCTCATAAGTAAAGGAAGTGGCACATGAATGCATCCAGGATTGCAATTTTTAACCCCAAGAGCTCCTTGCTGAGAGGGTGTAGACAGAAGGATTCAGAGAGCACCATTTTTCTGTTCAACCCCCCCCCCCCCCGCCGCTTCTTTGTTGGTACAAGGATTGAACCCAGGGCCTTTCCACTGTGCTGTGTCCTCAGCTCCCTTGTTATTTCTTACTTTGAGGCCAGGTCTCCCTAAATCACTAAGTGGCCCAGGCTGGGCTTAAACTTTTGATCTCCCTGCCTCAGCCTCTCACAGGCATTTGCTACCAAGGCCAGCTTCTGCTGCCTTCTCCCTGGGTCACTTCGGGCCAGTCAGGTCACCTTTCTGAGTCTCAGGCTCCTCGGCTGTACAATGGGGGACATCTTAGCAGCTTCTGCTTCCCAAGACGACAAGGCCAAGGGGATCAGGGCGTGGCACTGACGGGACTCCGGAAATGTGGCTCCCTTTGCTGGGATGCAGGGGCATCTCCTGCAGACAGGAATCGGTGTCGCCATTTCCGGAGGAGGGGGTGGGAGAGAAGCCCTGGGGTGGGGGGTGGGGGCGGTGCTTTAGGGATGAAGGTGGAAGCCAGCATCGCCCACAAGCACCCATCAAAGCAGATGAAGGGGCTGGGTGCTCAGTCTGGGAGGAGTTTGGGAACCAAGCTGGGATGAGGAAAATTGATGCCTAAGCAGCCCAAGGGGCCTGGGAGTGGCCCCCTGCCCTGCTCCCTCCCAGGATGATCAGATGCAAGGGCAACGGAGCCTGAGTGATAGATGGTTTCCCATCGTGGCCAGGCCAGCACGGCTGTGGGGACTCAGAGCTTTTGTAACAAGCACGACCCCAGTGTGGAGGAGTGATGGGGGCTGACCAGGAGACAAGACAGCCGGGGACCCTTCTGAGAGGCAGCTGTCCAGGCTGGGAGGCGGAGGATGAAGCCCCAGCAGACAGAGCTGCATGGGGAGGGGTGGTGGCTCTGGCAGCAAACACTTTGATGGTGACTTTCACTTATTCATTCAACAAATGTTTACTGAGCAGTTATTATGTGCCATGTGCTGGGATAGGTGCTACAGGGACAGCCGGGAGGAAGAAGGACACTGGGCCTGTCCCCGTGGGGCTTCTGTACTTGTGGGAGGCAGCAAACAGCGTGGTGGATGATGGATGAGTTAAATTTTAGATTGTTAGGCTTCTCTGAAGGACAGAATGGGCGACAAGAAAGAGTAACAAAGGGGCTGCTTAGCAGGGGGCTCGGAACGGCCCCGCTGAGGAGGGAGCACGGGCTGAGACTGAAGGATGGGAAGGAGCCCGTGAGCCAAGTGTGAAGGGCCAGGGTCCTGCATCCAGGTCCTATGGGACAGCAGCAGGAGCAGCAGGGAGTCCCAGAAGCCAGGCTCCAGGGCTCCCACTGCCCATGGCGGTGGCACCGGATGGCAGTGTGAGCTCTGTGCCTTCTGGGGGCCCTGCTTCTGCTCCCCATAGTGCTTCTGGGGCTGTCTGGTCCCTTGGAGGGGAGGAGGGACCTCCGCACCAGGATGAGCGCTTCTCCTCTTAAACAGCTGAGGGGCTCAGGAGCCAGGAAGAAGCTGGGGGGGGCGGGTTCCGGGCTAGGCTCTCTCAGGAGTTCACAGTTAAGTTTTCTTCTGGGGTGTGGCCATCTGGGGGTGTGACTGGGGCTGGGGACCTGACTGCTTTCAAGGTGGCTCAGTCCTGTGGGGACAAGGAGGCTGCTCTCCACTGTGACCTCTCCCCAGGGGTGCTTGGGTTGACTCACAGCATGGCGGCTGGGTTTCCAGAGTGAGGGGGGGAGAGGGGGGAGGGAGAGAGAGAGAGGGAGAGAGAGGTGCGCACCATGGTGTCTCTTGTCACCTCTCCTGGCCAGACACAGGGTCACTTCCTGGCCGCCATGAAGGGAGCAGCTTTCCTCTGCCTCCCTTTTTGCCATGGTGCTTCTGCCTCCCCTCAGGCTCACAGCGATGGAGCCAGCTGACCATGGATCAAGACCTCTGAAACAGGGGGCCCAGACAAACCTCTCCCTCTCACAGTTCCTGTCTGCGGGTGTTTGGTCACAGTGACGTCAAGCTGAGCAGCACAGGTGTCGCAGAAGGGGCCCACACGCCCAGCCCTGGCGGAGGACTCTAGTGTGGAAAAGCTCACCTCCTGCATTCCACGGGCAAGTTCCCTCCTCCCTCCCCAGCAGGGCCGATGAGGGCTGTGGAAAGTTGGTCAAATGCTCATCAGTGGGGTTTGGAGGAAACTGACTCGGGGCCACACAGCCCTGGGTTCAAATCCTAACTGTCATGGGCTGTGTGATCTTGGGCTAGTTGTGTAACCTCTCTGACTTGAGTCTTCTCATCTGTTAGAAGGGGAGAAATAGCTCCCGTCCCTGGCAGAGCTGTTAAGAGGCTTGCATGACACAGGTGACACACTGGGTACAGCACACTCTTTGTAGACAACCATGACTTTCAGGCTTGCTGGCCCATCTGCTGGAGGGGGTGCTCTTCCTGTTGGCAGGGCTCGCCTCGGCCTCCCCTGATGCGCTTCCCTAGTCCTGCCTAGAAACCATAGCTAACTGAAGGACCCCCTTGAGAGGACCTCCCTAGTCCCCCAAGGAACAGGACCCTTTTTCTTTAGCGGTGCAGGCTGAGGCAGGAGTGTCCCAAGTTTGAGTCCAGCCTGGGCAACTTAGCGACTTAGCAAGACCCTGTCTCCAAATAGAACATAAAAAGGGCTGGGGATGCAGCTCAGTGTGAAGGCCCTGGGTTCAATCTCCAGAAACACACACACAGACACACACACACACACACACACACACATGCACACACACACACCCAAAAAACTGCAAGGTTTTCTTTCCCACTTTGAGTGGCCGCCCCATTGGTGACACAAACAGGAACTGGTACCTACGGTGCAGCCCAGCAGGTGGCCAGTGAGCAGCGCTGCTGCGAATCAACTCCCACATTCTTCCAACAACCCTACTGTCTTCATTTGCCAGACGGAGAAACTGAGGCCCAGGAGTTCGTCGAGGCTGCCCATGCGCCTGTGTCGGGACCAGAGCACCTTCCCCTCCATTCCTTCTCCATTCTCGTCCCCTTCCGGAGACAGACGCAGCCCTCCAGGGCACGGAGTAGGAAGGAGTCCCCAGCCGGCGCTGGCTGGCGCAGGCCTCCCTCGGGCTGCGGCCCCTGCCCTTCCCGTGTCCTTGACCCCGCGCGCCCAGGGTCACATCTCATCTCTGTGGGAGCACGGAAGCCGCGCGGCTCCCAGTGCATCACGGGGCGGCAGTCACGCCGGAGCCGGAGCCGGAGCCCGAGTGTCATTTCCATCCATCTTTCCGCGAACGCTGACTGTCAGGAAGCAGGGGGTGGGGGAGGGCCGGGGAGATGGATGGGGTGGGGGCGGGGGAGGAAGAGGAGGACGGAAAGGAAGAGGGAAGGGAAGAGGAAAGAGGAGCAGGGAGAAGGGGGATGGGAGTGAGGGAGCGAGAGGAGACGGGGGGGGGGTGCAGGGTGGAGATGAGGGGTCCGGAGGGCTGAGACTGGAGGAGGGAGGTGCTAAGATGGCAGGGGAGGCAGGAGGGAGGGCAGGAGGGAGGCAGCCTTTTTGCTGCTTTGCGCCTCTGTCCTGTGGCCCTGCGCCCTCTGTAACCTCCGCAAGGCAGGTTCTAGCCCTGCCGGTTTGGCCCCAAGGAGGGAAATGGGGGCCTCTGCAGGGAGTGACCGCCTCTCACCTCTGCCCCCTGCAAAGCCCCCCAGCCACTGCTGTCTTCTACTCCTCCACCCAGGTGGGCGGGAACCCCTGGGTCTCAGGACGGCCCCTGGCCAGTCTTGTGGTGGGAGAGCAAGGCTCCCGCCGCCAAAGAGGCCCAGGGGTCAAAGCGAGGAGAGCCAAGCAGAGAGCGACAGCCATGAGGCAGCTGTCACCCCACGTCAGGGTGCTAGGGAGTGGCAGGGACTGCGGCAGAGTGGAGAGCATGTGAGTGTCCCACCGGGGCCCCAGGAGAGTCATCACAAGGGCGGACCGCGAAGGGGCGGAGGCCAGAGGGACCCCGCTCTGCTGGGGGGCGGCAGAGCAGCCATCCCTGTGAGCCCAAAGGGACAGGAGGGCAGACCAGGGAGGAAGACAGGGGACTGAATGCCCGCCCTCTGTCGCCCGCCAGTGCCTTCCACGGCTGAATCCACACCAGGCAGAAAGGGTGGGGACAGGATCTGGGGGACACGCAGCATTAGGGCTCACTGGATCCAGGCCCAGGTGTCGGAGTGCCACGCCCCATTCCCACCTGCGGACACAGGGTGAGCGTTTGCTCTGAGGCTGCCCGCTGCTCGTGGCTCCTGACCCTGCACTCACCTCAGGACTTGGCCCAGGTTTCCCTGCCCGCTGCGAGCCCCCACAGGTGAGGATCCAGCATTTCCTGCTGTTCACTCAGCTCCACACCCCTGACAGCACGGCAGGCATAGAGTGGGTGCTGAAAGCCTGGGCTCCAGGAATCAGCAGATTTAATAGTGGGGTCAACCAAATGGCAGACTCTTTGCATGGCACAAATAGAGATTTGTAAGAATTTAAATTTCACATGTCAGCTTCCATGTGAGGCCAGCAGCCACCCAGTTCACATTCTTTACCTCTGTTTCCTGCTCAGTAAATCAGGGAAATGGAACAAAACCTTCTTTGTCAAAAATTCCTCCAAAACCAAGCCAGCCTCAAGACACCAGCAAGGTCAGTGTATCAGTTAGCTTCTGCTGTGTAACAAACTGCCCCCCAAAATGTGGTGTTTAAAACAATACCTGTTTTAATGAGCTCTTGAGGCTGTGGATTGGCTGGGGTGCTGGATGGCTACAGTGCTTTTCTGGTCTGGGGAGGCTGAACTGGGCTGCACGGTCGGGGATGGCCTCGCACATATGTCCGGGAGTTGGTAGCTGGCTGATCTAGGGAACCTTGGTGAAGGCTGCTTGTTGCATCTCCATGCAGTCTCTCACTCGCCAGCTCACTTGTCTGGGCTTCTTCACATAGGGTCTCAGGATTCCAAGGAGACGCGAGATAGCGCGACCTCCCATGCCTAAGAGTGTTTTAAGTCTCGGTTCACACGGTAGCTGCTGTCCCATTGGTGAAATCAAGTCACAGGGCCAGGGCTACATTCAAGGCCCAGGGCAGTGGGAAACCTTCACTTGGTTTCCGTGATTTTGCAACTGGCTGCAAGGAAGGAGCCAAAGAGAAGAGGCCTAAACGTGGTGCTCCGGGAGCACAATCCCCCTCTTCATGTCTCTAAGCATCACTAGTGCTTTCCTGCCTCAGGGCCTTTGCCCTGGCTGCTCCCTTGTTTTGGGATGCTCTTCCATGGTCCTTAAAAAAGCTGATTTCTTCTCTTTTCTCACTGAGTTGTCAGCTTCTTGGAGTCCTTTCTGATCATGCTGTCTAAACAGAGATTTGCCATTATCAACCACAGCCTCTTGCCCCTTTCCTTCCAGCAGCTCACAGCTCATCATGATTTATTCTTTCTCCAGATCTCCATCCCTTCAACTCACCATCAACTTCACAGGGTCACGAACTTTGTCTTCATCTCCATGGTCCCTGGCATGTAGTAGGTGATCAATAAATATTTGCTGATGAAAGGAATGATTTGTACCAAGAAAATAGCTTTATAAATGACGTTGTCCTTATATTTGTAGAACTTTTAAGGATACAAAGGAAGTCTTGAAACATTTGGCTGTTCTAAATGCATTTCATGGGAGAAACAGGCTTTGATGTGAGCTTGGATATCTGTAACCCTTCCCTGCCCACCCGTGTAGGATATGAGCATTTTAGGGTGTGTTTTGGGGTCTTTCCTCTACACTATTAAGGAAGTGAGCCTAGGTAGTCTCAGCCCCGGTTGTCCAGGAGGGGTTGAGGATTTGAAAGTGTATCAGCTAGCTTATGGTAGGTAACAAAGTTACCCAGAATTTACAGTTTTACAACAATGACAGATCATCTCTGCTCTCCTCTCTATGGGGCAGCTGTGCATTTTCTCTGGACAGCTGTGGTTCAGCTGTGGTTCTGTGTCTCTCACATCTCTGGGGCCTTGCTAGCACAACGGGGCTGCCTCAGTGCTGGCCTATTTTCCCTCATCCTCCTGCAGGTGAACCTGAGCCCCCTCGTGTGGTGACAGTGGGACTCCAAGAGGGAATGTGGGAGCTTGGACCTGGTCAGTGAATGGCCCAGAGAGGCAAAGAGCCTCCCCTTTGATCAGAAGACCAGCATGACACTGCAAAGGGGGTGGCACAGGTAGTGAGGAAAATGAGGCTGCAGTCATCAGGGGTGGGGGGCCTCCAAGCAGGGCTGTGTTCTCTTCTAGAAAGCACAGTGCTAACTAAGCCCACTCTCGGGTGGTACTGAGCTATCAGCACTCTTGTCCGTCTCTCACATGGGCTGTGAGTCCTGTGAGAACTGAACAGAGACCCAACTTACAATGGCACCACGGAGCACAAGAATTAAACCCAAACTCCTGGCCTCAGCCCACCAGGTCCTCACTGGCCTGGCCTCCGCCTGCTTCTTCTTCACTCTGTGCCGTCCCCTGTCTCCCCCATGCTGATCTTCTTCCCACCTCAGGGGCTTTGCACTTGCTGTTCCCTCTGCTGGGCTGTGTTCCTCTGGCTCCTGGCACAGAGAGGTCCTTAAGTCCTGCCTCAAATGTCACCCTTCAGAGGGGCCCTCCCTGCCCACTCCCATCCCCACTTGTGATTTTTTAAATTATAGCACCCGTTTCTTTCCATCGTGGCATTCATCATAATTCATTGATTTGTGTCCTGTCCGCCTGTTCTGCATGGACTGTCAGGTCCACAAGACCAAGAACTGTCTTGTTTACTGACAGTATTCCTAGTGCCAAGAAGAGCACTGAGCACATAGTAAGTGCTCAACAAATCTGGCTGAACGAATGAATCAAAGGATGGGTGGGTGTTCATGCTTTCAGGGGGTGGCAGACATTCTGATGGTTAAAACCTCCACGGGTGCTGTTTCAGGCCAAGCCAGGCAGGGGGAAGCAGAAAAGGGGCAGAGGGGAGGCTGGAGGTGAAGAGCTGTGGGCTGCCCGGGCTGGGGCTGCAGCCTAGCTCTGCCGTCTGGAGCTGTGTGTGCCCTGGTTTGGCATTCGAGAGATGCCGCATCCTGGAGGAGGGGAGGGGGAGGGGGAGGAGCCTTCCTCTGGGGGCCTGGGCCTCGAGTTCCAAAGACCAGGTGGGTTTGACACTGCGAGCTCAGCTCCTGCAGTCCCCCTGTGTGGTCTCTGCTCACCGGGTCCTGGAGAGAGGAGGAGACTGGGATCCCCATCTTTGTGCCCCTCACCGGGTCCTGTGCAGGAGGCTCTCAGCAGGGCCTCATGTGGCCTTGTCTCCATGCGGCAGGCGGGGAGCCATCCAGAGACAAAACACCGGGGCTGGGGCCTCCCGGGGGCATCCGGAGAGGGGTTTCCTGTGGACATTTGGGGACTCATAAGAAACATGGTACGGACACATTTGTGTATCTACCTTTTGGCCTCTGAGGGTTGTTTGCACAGAACAAATTTGCGGCGGGGTGCGTGCGCGTGTGTGCGTGTGCGTGTGTGTGCGCGTGTGTGCGCATGTGTGTGAATGCGTCGAGGGGGCGCCCACCAACTGCTCTGGGCCCATTTGCTTTCTGCTCTCTGTCCTGCTCATGGCACTGGGGACTGACCCTAGGCTTCCCAGGATCCTTTGCTTCCTGGACACACTGGGCCCAGCCGCTGAGAGGGTCCCACAGGGCCAGAGCACCTGTGGGAGGGGAGAGGCTGGGGATCCCCTCACTCCCATTCTGCAGTGAGGCCTGGGCCAGACTCCAGCCCGCACACCACTGGTTCTGAAGTTTCCCTCGCTGTCCCTGTAGCGCTGGGGGTGGTGGGAGCAGCAGGGGGCCTCGCTAGTCTCTGGGTCCCTCGATCTTGTTTCCTTTCACCCTCCCTACATCTCCATGACTACCCTTTCATTGGCGATTTTATTTGAACGGTCTGGTTGTGAGCCTGTTTGTTTCTTAGATCTAAGGCTGGGTGACATTAACTGACAAGCATTCCCGGGATCATTCCTGTAGGTGGATTCCACCTGCTGGTGCCCACTGATCTTGCTGTCATGAACTTGGCTGGCACCAATGATTGGCATCTTTGGTGTTTGGGGTGTTCAAAAATGGCATAGAGGTTGTAAATGACACCATGCTTTAATTTGCCCCCTTTCATGACCAGCAAAGCTATGCAGGGGTTCAACCAAAGGCAATTTTGGCCCCAGAAGTTTAGTGATACCTGCACACATTTGGGGTTTTGTGCAGTGAGGCTCGGCCAGTCACTTATTTGTGATCCTGGATAACATCTTCACCAGCTCAGAAAGGCCTTCTCTCCTGGTCCTGTGTTACAGTCTGGGCCTGGACTGTCCCCCAGAGATTCATGTGTGAAGGCTTGGTCCTCGATGCAGTGTGCTGAGGTGGGATCTGGGGAGGCCATTGTGTGGTCAGAGTGCCAACTTCTTCAGGGATGAGTGAGTTCACAGTGGAACAAGCTACTAGTGATATAGAGGGAAGAGTGTAACACTCAAACCTACTAGACATCTGAAACGATTGTTCACGTTCTCTAAAATCGAAGAGTGAATTCTAGGAACAACGGAGGTGAAGAGTAGGAAAAATTTACTGAGAAAAAGAAAGCTTCTGTCTAAGAGAGACAGAAGGGGGACCAGAAAGTGGGTTGCCCACCCACCCCACTTTTCAAAGATGTTTTATACAGCAAAGCCATGTAGTGAGGCGGGTACAAAGTGGGACAAAACTCTAAGACCCAATGGAAATTTACAAGATGAGCATGAGGTGGGACAAAACCATGACCAACTAATAAGATTACAAGTACAGTACCCAGGTAATATTGATTAAATGGTGATCAAATGGGAAAACAAGTCACATACAAGGAATTTTTCCATTTAGAATATCAATCACTTCTATCTATCTCTAGGGGAAGTAGTGGCTCTTCTTTTTATAATGCTAACCAGTGAATGTGCCTCAACTGTTTTCCATGTTGGTTTCTTGCTGTGTTGGCTCCTGGAGGGCTGGTCTTGTCTAACTGCAGACAAGATATCTAATTAACGCACCTATCTGCTATACTAGGAGGTGGCGCAGTCGCTGGTGACAAGTCTGTGACTTGGTAAGTGTGGAAAGAGACTCTACCTCTTGGTGGGATAAACATGAGGGTTGGGGTGGGGGGAGGACTCCATGGCAGCCATCTTTGGGAATAATCCACCTCAGCACCAGCCTCATAGGATCGATGTTAGGATTGAATGGTGTGATATTTAGGGTGCATATAGTTAATACTCTGGAAGTATAAGCTGATTGTTATTAAAGGGTGTTGCAAAAGATATGATACAGGTACTAAGTTTGTCCCACGTTCTGAAGGCTGATGGTTTTCTTTTCTTTTTTTGATTCGGTACTGGGGATTAAACTCGGGACCTTCTGCTTGCGAGGCAGGTGGCAGAACCACTGAGCTAAATCCCCGGCCCAGGGTGATTTTTTTTTTTTTTTTCCAGGCTGATGGTTTTAATGGGAACTTTCCCAGGTCATCAGCTTCTTTCCCAGTCTTCATGTATTATCACCCGAGCTACAAGTGTTTCAGACTTTGGCCTTCAGAGGTAACAATACCAGTCATGCCAACTCTTACAGAATGCTTTCTATGTACTAAATGCTTTACGTATATTAGCATATTCAATCCTTACAACTCTTTGAAGTAAGCCCTATTATTTCCATTTTGCAGACAAGGAAACTGAGTCACCAAGAGATAAGTGAATTGCCAAGTTTATGCAACTAGGAAATGGCAGAGCCAGGATTTGAACCCAGGAAGGCTGGTTCTATGGTCCATGTTTAACAATGGTATAATAGGTTACCAAGAAGATAAATGGCTTTAAATGATAAATGTTTATTATCTCACAGTTTCTGTGGGTCAGAAATCTAGGAGAAGCTTAGCTGGGGCCCCTGGATCAAAGACAATCATGGACTACCATGAACATGTCCTCCAGGGGATAAAAGTCATGTCAAGGATCAGAGAGGGGGAGGCTTGCTTCCAAGCAAGCTATTGGCAGGATTCAGGTTCTCACTAAGGCCTCTTCACAGGGTTATCCACAACATGGCAGCTCGCTTCCATCAAATCAAGGAGAGAGAGGGAGAGAAGAAGGAGAGGGAGAGAGACAGAGAGACGGGGGAGAGAACGAGAACACAAGTCTTGGATGATGCTTATCTCTTCTATTCATTAGAAGTAAGTGGACACTATAGAAGGGCATGCCTACTGGGAGGTAAGGAACACTTGGAGGTGGCCATTTTGAGGTAGCCATCTTAGAGGTGGCCATTTTAATGTGGCCACCTTAGAGGCTGCCTCTTGCAGGGACTCTTCTGTAATTTTTTTACACCACAGCTGCCTTCAGTGATAACCAACAGTTGCTTAAATATCCTGGCTTTATTTCATATGTTCATTATGACATCCTTGAAGGCCAGGGCAGATGTCCTGAGTGTCCCACAGAGTTCCCTTGGCTTTGGTCCCTGTCTTCCAGGAGATAATAAGCAAATACAGAGACTGTTGATTCAGGGTGTGGATGGATTGGTTGCTAGAG